TTTTTTTTTTTTTTTTTTTTTTTTTGAGACTGAGTCTTGCTCTGTCACCCAGACTGGAGTGCAGTGACATGATCACAGCTGACTGTAGCCTCAACCTCCTGGGCTCAAGCAAGCCATCCTCCCACCTCAGCTTCCTGAGTGGCTGGGACTGCAGGCACACACCGCCATGCCTGTCTAATTTTTGTGTTTGTTGTAGAGACGGGGTTTTGCCATGTTGCCAAACTGGTCTTGAACTCTTGGGCTTAAGCAGTCCTGCCTCAGCCTCCCAAAGTGCTGGGATTACAAGTATGAATCACTGTGCCTAGCTATATTTGTCATTTATTTATTTATTTTTTGAGACCAGCTCACTCCTGGGCTTAAGTGATCCTCCTGCTGCAGCCTCCCAAAGTGCTGGGATTACAGGTGTGAATTGCTGTGCCTGGCCGTATTATTTATTTATTTATTTATTTATTTATTTATTTTTGAGACCAGGTCTTGCTCTGTCACCCAGGCTGGAGTGCAGTGATGCAATCATGGCTCACTGCAGCCATGACTTCCCAGGTGCCAACAGTCCTCCCACCTTAGCCTCCTTAGTGCTGGGATCACAGGCATGTGCCACATGCCCAGCTAATTTTTGTATTTTTGGTAGAGTCAGGGTTTCCTCATGTGGCCCAGGCTGGTCTTGAACTTCTGAGTTCAAGCGATCCACCTGCCTCGGCTTCCCAAAGTGGTGGTATTACAGGTGTGAGCAACTGCACCTGGCCCATATTTATCTTTAAAAAAAAAAAAAGATGTTTATCATTTTTTATATAGACTCATTGAAAAAATGACTTTGTGTTCTTCCAGTACATACCATCGTGTCTGAGAAGGCAGAGATCTAGACAAGTGTGGGAAAGATGACTTTGGATCAAAATTTTCTTGTGGATATAATGTGCTTATACATAATTTAAAGCTGACTGTATTAAAGATACATTTTTTGTCAACCAGATGATTGTTAAATACCTGTGAAGTATGTGTGGCCCGGTCCTATTTCCTCACCTGTTTACAGTGAATCAGATGTCCCAATAGATGTGGAGACGGTCATGTCAACGCCTATGCCACTCTATGACAATCAGAAGGCACGCAGCGTGATGAATGAGTGTGAACGGCATGTCATCTTTGCCAGGACTGATGCAGATGCCCCTCCTCCACCAGAGGACTGGGAGGAACATGTCAACAGGTAGGCTGCTCATCAGGAGGATGGTCACTGCCCTGTAATTATTTCGTATCATCTTCATTGAAATAACACTTATTAGGACCTTATTTCATTTGCAGCAACACAAGTCAGAGTGTTCTCCAAAGTCTCACATTATAACTCTCAGTTCACCATGCTGTGTGTGAGCTTCTTGAGAGCAGGGCTTACATCTCAGCCATCTTTGCATACTTCACACTAGGACGTTGTCTGGCACACAGTAGGTATATAATGTTTGTTGGATAAATAAGTGAATTAAATTTGATAGATATGATTAGCTCTGTAGTAGCTTCTGTTGTTTAAGTTATGATATAGGGGTTACCCAAACTACAAAAAAATGAAATGTACATTTGTAAGGTATTGTGTTTAAATGGTTTATAACTAGGATGATGAAAGTTGTGAAGTCACATGAAAAGCTAACAGATGTTTGAGTGGCTTTTAAAAATAGATTTGCAGGCTGTGGAGGGCACACTGAAGCCTGTTTTCATGAGTATATTGGCTAGTTTTGTTCCCAAGCTTTCTACTGCCCCAGGGGACTCAGTACTCCTCTCCTGGTCATTTGTCCCTGTTCATTTGGTAAACATTTACCTAATCACATAATATCTTTTTGGGAATATTTATATGCCATACAAGTCAACTATTTAATGTGTACAGTCATTGGTTTTTAGTATAGTCAGAGTTTTATATTCATCACCACTATCAATTTGATAAACATTTTCATCATCCCAGAAAGAAACCTCATACCCATAAACAGTCACTCCCCATTTCCTCCTAGCTTCTCTGGTCTCTAGGAAGCACTAATTGACCTTTGTCTCTATAGATTTGCCTATTCTGAACATTTCATGTAAACGGAATCATGCAATATGTGGTCTTTTCCTACTGGCTTCTTTCACCCCGCATAATATTTTCAAGGTTCATCCATGTGGTTGTGTGTATCAGCACTTCATTCTGTTTATTGCCAAATGATATTACATTGTTTGGATAGCCCACATTTTATTTATTAATCAGTTGATGGATATTTAGGTTATTTTCATTTTTTGGCAATTGTGAATAATGCTGTTACGAACATTTGCATACAAGTTTTTGTGTGGATCTAAGTTTTTAATTCTCTTAGCTATATACCTGGGAGTGGACTTGTTGGGTCATATGATACCTCTGTATTTAACCTTTGAGGAATTGCCAGACTGTTTTCCAAATTGGCTGTACCATTTTACATTCCTACCAGCAGTGTATGAGGGTTCTAGTTTCTCCACATCCTTGACAACACTTACTAATTTTCTTCTTTTTTAAAAAAATTATAACCGTTCTACTGGGTATAAAGTGGCATCTCATTGTGGTTTCAACTTACATTTTGTTGATGGCTTTTTGTCTGTGTATCCATATATCTACTATATATAAGGAAATGTTACTTCTTATATCAGAAGTTGGTAGGTGGTAACTTTCCACAATTTCAGAGAACCCTTATTTTCTAATGTAGAGAGAGAAAGAGGGGTAGAAAGTTTGAGGTGATTGACATGATTACTGAAGCTGGTTGGAAGTTGGAAATGAGATTGAACAGGTGTGCTTGTGTGATCAAAACAGCAGCTGTTGAGGGAGGAGCAGTTCTGCACCTTGGTTGAAAAAAGCTTGTGAAGAACATGGTTGGGGTCTTGCATTGGAATTAATTTAGTGCCTTAAGAAGCTCTTTTCTCACACCTGTAATCCTAGCACTTTGGGTGGGTGAGGTGGGTGGATCACCTGAGGTCGGGAGTTCAAAACCAGCCTGACCAACATGGACGAACTCTGTCTCTGCTAAAAATACAAAAGTAGCCGAGTGTGGTGGCGCATCATGCCTGTAATTCCAGCTACTTGGGAGGCTGAGGCAGGAGAATCGCTTGAACCTGGGAGGCGGAGGTTGTGGTGAGCTGCGATCACGCCATTGCATTCCAGCCTGGGCAACAAGAGTGAAACACCGTCTCAAAAAAAAAAAGAAACTCTTTTGAGCGTCAGATAAAGAAGAAAACTAAACTGCTATGAATGAAGATCAACTACTGGAATATTGCTAGAGTCAGTATATTCAGCAAAAGGATTTATCAGTTTTTACAGTTAAAAATAGAAATAACAACGATGGTAATAACAAAAAGGAGCCAGCATTTGTTGAGTGCTTTCTAGGTGCCAGACATTGTATCAGGCTCTTCAAATGCATTGTCTCTTAGTCCTCCCAGTGACTCTTGGAGGTATAACCCCCTTCATCTCTGCTTAACAGGATGAAGAAACTGAGCTCAGAGTGTTTAAGAAACCTTAATTAGGAAGTGATGGAGAAGGAGTTTGTTCAAACCAAGCAGTCTGACTCCAGAACCCAGTGTTCTCAACCACCATACCCTCTGCCTTAATTAAGGGCAGTAAGAAGAGATTAAGACCAGTTAGTGGTGGCTGAACAAGGTGGCCTCGTATGGTTATGTATCCCTTTGTGGTATTTTCCACTACCTTTTCCTTTGCAATTTTGCAAAGTACATAGGAGAACTGTGTGATTTTTTTTTTTTTTTTTTTTGGTCGTCAGTTCATCCATGGTTATGATTAAGAGGTTTTTGTGGACAATTCATACTTACCAAAGTCATTAGAGACTTAATAATACTATAAGTACCAGTTTTGTTTTTTTTTTTTTTGAGGCAGGGTCTCACTCTGTCACCCAGACTGCAGTGCAGTGGCACGATCTCAGCTCACTGCAAGCCTCAACCTCCAGGACTCAGATGATTCTCCCAGGTGGGAACCTTAGCCTCCCAAGTAGCTGGGACTACAGGAGTACGTCACCATTTCTGGCTAATTTTTGTAGTTTTTGTAGAGATTGGGTTTCGCCATGCTGCCTAGGCTGGTCTCAAGCTCCTGGCTCAAGTGATCTGCCCACCTTGGCCTCCCAAAGTGCTGAGATTATAGGTGTGAGCCACTGCACTTGGCCGAGTTTCTTAATTTATAAGGAGAGATACAACTGCAAAGCATAAGAGACACTGGGGTGGTCTGGCCAGAGTGTCTGTTCTCAGCTGGAAAGTCTGGAAAACTATTTTATTTCAGAAGTGAATAGATGAGTGGAGAGTCTACACAGGAGGCACAGCAGAATAGCTGGAAGTATACATCTTTCCTCTAGGCAAGGTGGGTCCACAGAGTAGGCCAGGGTGCACTTTCTCCTGCCTGTCCTTTAGAGAAGCACTGACGGATTCTTATCTTTGGCTTTTCTTTCCCCAGTTTCCTTGTGGACCACCATCCTTCTGTTACAACATTGCCACAGATTGATGTAATTCATTAAAGCTCAGTTGATCCTAGATTATTTGTTTTCATAGTGTCTGATGAGATTTTGGAGGCCTTCTCTCATTGGCCGCAGTCTTACAAACCGTCTCTTTTGGTTGTAACTTTTGTATATAGCCGATTTTATTATTTAATGATCACTTATTAGCTTCAGTTTCAGAGATCACCATTTTATGACCCTGTCCCTGAGTCTGTAGCCTGTTTGGAGCTTGCAGTTCCTTCTGCTCTGATTATAATCATTGTGTTGCCATTCTTTCCCTGACTTGATTGTTAAATTGCTGCTTCCTTTCTTCTTGTATAAAGTCATGTAAAATTAGTTTCCCACATCAAGAGCTCCATGAACGGTGTAGGTCGGCTCCCTGGAACTCTGGAGTTTCTTTCCCGGAGAGTTTACTAATCGCTCTTTGTCTGTAGAGGCAGAAACTTAATTTCCTTGTTAAGAGCTTTTTTCCTCCCTCTTTAATGATTTCAGTAGATACTGTCTTCAAATAACTTTATGTATATAGGCCAGGCACAGTAGCTCTCACCTGTAATCCCAGCACTTTGGGAGGCTGATGCGGGAGGATCATTTGAGGTCAGGAGTTTGAGACCAGCCTGACCAACATAGTGAAACCCTGTCTCTACTAAAAATAATAAAAATTAGCTGGGCGTGGTGGCGAATACCTGTAATCTCAGCCACTTGGGAGGCTGAGGCAGGAGAATCTCTTGAACCTGGAAGGCAGAGGTTGCAGTGAGCCTAGATCGTGCCACTGCACTCCAGCCTGGGCAACAGAGCGAGACTCCCATCTCAAAAAAAAAAAAGAAGCATGCTCCTCCCTTCCCTGCCCCCGACTCTGGCTTTCTTTATTAATGATTGATATTTTGTGAAATGGTTTAAATATTGCTACCTTATTTAATTGTCTGTATTAGGGGTTGTCTGTGACCGTGGGCTGATTTAAATTTGACCCATTGCTTGTTTTTGTGTGGAATGGTTTTTACATTTTTAAATGGTTGCAAAAAAACTTAATACTGTTTCATGACACGTGAAATTAAAATTTCAGTGTGCGCAAACTTTTATTGGGATACAGTCATATTCATTAGGTATTATCCATGGCCACTTTTGCACTAAAACCACAAAGTTGAATAGTGGCAGAAACCATATGGCCTGCAAACCCTAGAACATTTCTGTCCAGCCTCTTATAGAAAAAATGAGCTGCCTGGGTCATGTTCTTGTGTCTGCGTGCCATGGCATGTGACTTAGAGGACCTTTGAAAATAATTTCTATTTGCTGGCATAGTGATGTAGTCCTGAAGATGTTGGGCCAGCTTTTTTTTTTTTCCTCCAGATGTTTGTCAAATGCCGTTTCATTAGTTGCATAGCTTTTGAAAGATATTTAATAAAATTCTCCTAACACATGATACTTCTCAGCATTGCTCAAATGGGTTTTAGGACATTTCCAACATTTCAGCGAAAGAATGTAGTATCCAAAAGCAGACTTTCTTATCTTAGAAATCAGAACTTCTGAATTCCAGCCAAAAACACCCCATTTTCCTTTTCTGAACTTTCTTTAATTATATATTCAATATTGTATGTATCTGTATAAATCTTAGGTTGGATGTTTGAAATTTTAAGTCCAAGGTCTTTGAGTTATCCTCCCTCCTTCCCCTCCCCCACCCTCTTTCTTTCCCCTTCCTTCATTCCTTCCCTTCTCCTAGTGTTTAGACAAAGAA